CCGCCAGCAGCAACACCACCACCATCACCACCGCAACACCCCACCCCCACCCACCCCATCCCCCTCACCACCAGGTCCCAGAGATGCGCGCCCTCAGCCTCAGCCACTGGGACGGCGAGCCCTCCCCGCCGCGCGGCCACGCGATGGGCTCCCACGGCTTCTTCGCCGGCGGCTGGAGCCACCGGTCCCAGAAGTTTTCGGTCAGCCAGCTGCAGTCTGAGAGCGCCGCCTGGGTCCGCAATGCGCAGGTGGGCGAGGGGGCGATGCAGTTGGTCGGGCCTGTTTTGTGTACGCTGCGGCGACGAGCGCGGGCTGGCTGGTCTCCTGGCTCGTTCCACAGGCGGCAAGGCCGCACTGACGTTTGACCCCACTCGCCAGCAGGCTTGATTGTGGAGGTTTCAAATAGCAAACTCAATATTCCCAGTGCGCCAAGACCTCTGCTGTGCCAGCCTGGGGCGGGAATTGTCACAATTACCGTGTGCCAGGAATCCAGCCGGTTGCCCATGGCGGCGCGCCCCCTCCCCATGAAAATGGCGCATGCAAGTCAGATGCTCGCGATGCACTGTCCTCACCCTCCGGCGTCCAACGACCACCCTCCGGCCGCCAGGCGTACCTCGCCGCCGAGGAGGACCACAAGCGGAAGCTGCTGCGCGCCATAGGGCCTCGCACAAAGGGCGCGCTCAGCGTGGCGCGCGCGGTGGGCATGCTGCGCAACCGCCAGTCGTCCGAGGTGGCGCAGCTGCTGGGGGCGATGATCACCATGCCGCCGGAGCACTGTGGGTGCCGTGGTGTGGGATTGTGTGTTGCAGGGCTTGCATGGTGGTTTGAGAGCCGTGCGGTCGGTTGGCAGTTGGTGTGTTCATGCCAAGAGCAAATGAATGGGGGCTGCACCGGCTGCTTCAGCTGCTGCGCGGTAATGCAACAGTGGGGGCCCCGGGTCGATTAGAGGGGCCCTAGTAGGGGTGCGCTGTTCGATTCTCGCACTCGCCGCGACTCGCAGCTGACGCCCCTCACCCTTGCATCCGCGCCCCTCCCCTCACACCCGGCGTCCTATCCTCCCCCGCCCGCGCCGCTCCTCCGCCTCCTTACCGCCCCCCTCCCCCCCCCTCACAGTCCACAACCCCAAGTGGCGCGCCAGCCACCCGCTGGAGGACTGCCTCACGCCCGCGTGGGTGGGCCACAGCCGCTGGCTGCTGCTGGACCTGACTGCCCAGAAGGCGGACTGGGGGCCGGCCCTGGGCGGGGAGGGCGTCGTCGTCGCGGGGTGAGGGAACGCACATGGCCTGGGTTCGACGCGTCCTGATGACATTCTTTTTTTCGGGTTTCATGGTCGCGGCGTCGAGGGTTGTCGTTGTCAGGCTTGTTTGGTGCAGCGTGCGTGCGCTTCAGGCCATGGCCAAAGTTGTCTGGGGCTCAGCGCCGCCGCGTCCGTGGCTCGCAGCGCTGGGGGCTGCGGGACCCCCAGGAGGGGTCGGAGGCGGTGTTGTCAAGTCGAGTATCCCCAGTTACAAGCAGCAATGACAACACGACTTGCGTTGCAGAGAATGATCTTGCTTGGCCCCCTACCAACACGCACGCTCTCACGGCGCGTCGCCGGACTGCGAGACCAAAACAAAGCTCAAGCGCCGCCCCCCTTGCAACCCCACCCACCCCCGCAGCTCTATTCCCGACGTCCCCTCGATGTTTTCGGAAGTCCAGGAGGCACGAGAGGTCGCGCGTGAGGACAAGTTTGGGGAGGACCCGCGGCAGCAGCAGCTGCGCGAGGACCTGGCAGCCAAGGCGGGCCAGGCCTCTGCTGCGGCGGCGGCGCATCATGATGCGCAGCACGAGGCGCGGCGGGCCGCGGCCGAGGAGGCGAAGCTGCAGGTGGGTGGAAACGCAACGAACCCTTCAATCTGCTCGTTAGCGGGGGTGTGCTGGGCGCTCGTCGCTTCAGGAGAGAGGGTTTGAGGTGTGGGCTTGCGCGGCGCAGCGCCTGCCGACCCACGAATCCCAGGAGTCTGTCTTTCAGGCCCCGAACAGCAACACTTTCGCGCTTTCTGTGGCCGCCCCCAAGCTGCAGCACAAGTTCAGCCTGTCAATCAGCTGTGTCTGGCCCCCCCCCGCTTCACCTGCTCCTGTCGTTTTCATCTTTGCGGCGATGCCCCCCCCTTTGCCTTGCCACGCGCAGGGTGTGGTGCACGGCGTGGCACCCGGCCAGGAGGCGCAGCTGGGGGAGGGCACCGAGGAGCAGCAGGAGGCAAAGCGGCAGGTGCGGGCGGGCAGGGGGCGTGGGCCTGGGCCTGCGCGAGCGGCTTTTGTTTCGCCCCCCTTCAAACAAGCACACAGGATGAGAGGTTGAGTCAAGGGGCAGGAACACTACTTGTGTTTGTCATGGCAAAAATGTGGAAGCTGTTGTTTTCCCTTGCCAGCATTCTGCCTCCGCGACACGGTGCCGGGCCTGGCCTCTGACCCCATGTACAGCTGGCGTCGGCCCCATCCCTCGCTAGCCAGGTTTCCGGCGCCTACAAACAGCCGGCCACCACCGCTCCGCCCGGGACCCGCTTTGTAACGCATAGACACACACACGACAACACACACATGTGCAGGTTTTACTAGTCCAGGTCAAAACTTTCCCCCATCCGCCCCAACCTCTCGGCGCCAACTGCTGCGTCCGAAACGCCCCGCCCCCCTCGCAGGAGGCGCTGCTCCACGCTGAGCTGGACATGTACGAGGCGTTTGCGCTGCAGCACTGCCACGTGAGTCGCGACGCTCGGCACGGGGCCGCCTTTGAGAAATCATCATTACCAGAAACCTCCCTGGCTGTAGCATTGGAGGGATCAAGCAATTCATAGGGTTGGCCATGTGTCACCGAGGCTTAGTTGTGGCAGGAGCTCTCCAATGCCAATTCTCCCTTAACATCGCATCGCGGCGGGCTCCCGTAGTTTGGACACCGCTCCCCTCGTCGCTGCACACCCGCAGAA